GTTAGAGAAAGAACATAAGAAAGTTTGACAAAGATGGCTGTTAAACGGGGCAGCGGATCCGCAGAGAGAGAGAGAGAGAGAGAGAGAGAGAGACGCTGAGCTGCAACGTGCAGCGATCAGTTGATCCGGAGCATAGAGAGAGAGAGAGAGCTGCGGTCCGCGGGGCTCGGCCTCGCCTCCTGTCCTCACAACTCTTATCAATCCCGGGACCGGACAATTGTTATTTGTTCCTACTCGGAACCGAGTTTTGCTTCCCAACCCTGCCACTGTGCTACACTTCCCGCCCCGCCCCGCCCAACTGTACAGAAAGCGGCGAGATGCATTTCCTTAAGAATCGACAAGCAGAACCGAAACTAACATTTATAAACGAACAATGGCGGACACGTACAATTTGTGAATGAGTTCTGCCTTTTGTAAACTGAATTTATCAATAATTGGTCAATAAATCAGGGCGAAAAACGTCACTTGTCCGCCGGACAAGTCAATTGAAAGATCTACTTGTCCGATATTGTAAATAACACGTCCCGGACGGTGGGACGTGTACTTTTTCGCACACTGGGTATTGCGCTAAGGGGAAATTATTTTGACCGGAGAGATTTAGATTTGCCGTTCTTCAGCATATTTTACCGGTCATAGTCCGGTAATTACCGGTTAACGGCAACTCTGAGCTGAATACTAATCTGTCATTCCCGTTTCAGGTACCAGGACATCCTCCACTCGGTCCATCTGACGCGTAAGAGCAAGCCGGGCCTCAGGACCTGCGATGGTTTCACCGAGCTGCTCAACTACCTGCGCAGTGACATCCAGGAGATCGCCTCACGACTCCAGAAGGGAGGCCTGGGATACCTGGAGGACAACGTAGACATCGAAGAACAGGTGATTAGTTTATCTGGCTTCATACAGTATGTGTAGACCGGGCTAAGTGATTGTTTATAACCGTTTCTCAAAACCTGTTATATACTCTATGTATCCAATTTAGGCCGCAGGGTTGAAAGATTAATATGTAAAAAAGGGAAGTGTGTTGTTTACAAGCCTTGTTGTACATAAACCATCATAAACTTTTAAATGGGTTTGACTAAATCAAGGTTGTTTTTATTAAACAGTGAAGTGTTACGGATTTTTCTAGCTCATGGTTTATGTGTGTGTTGTCCAAATGTCCTTACGATGTCATAATGTACATCTGTTTGATCCTCTATTCACAGATGAAAGACATGGAGAAGTTGAAAGACTTTGGAGAGATCGTCATCACCATCCAGGCCTGTGTGATCAAAAAGTTCCTGCAGGGATTCATGGCCCCCAAGCAGAAGAAGAAGAAAAAGACAGCAGGAGAGGAAAGCAGCAAGGCAGAGGAAGTGGATGATGAGAAGAGGCTGGCAGAAGAGGCCAGGGTAAGAGAACATGTTCATCTTGTTTAATCTTTTTAAATTGTGTCACCAGTGTCCACCAGGAAGTCACTAGATGTTGATGAAATAGGGATTTCTGCAGGGATGTTTAAGTCAAAATTCTAGATAAGGCGTATCAGTGATAAAGCAACAGTAATGATTTGTATATTTTCCAAATATCTATTAAAAAAAAAAGCTGAATTTATAAGAACTTAACAACTAGGGCTGTGCAATTAATCGCAATAACGATTTTGGCCTGCCACAATTACGAAAACAAAATAATGGGAAAAAATGATTATTTAGCTTTGCAAGGTTGTGACAGTGCACTGCATCTAATTTATTTTAGTCTAATTTATTGTTATTGATCATATTTATATATGTTTAGTAGCTTGTTGAAGTGCGCTCCAAAATATTTGTTGATCTTGTTTATTGGTATTTATTATTTTGATATTATTTATTGGTTTTTCAGGTTGAATTCTACGTTCAGGGTAATCAACAGTTAAAAAGATACTGTTCAAATTATTATTTTAATTTGTTTTAAAGTTCAATAAATGGATGTTTTCAAAGTCAATGAATAATCGTATTTAATAATCATGATATCAATTATTGACCAAAATAATCGTGATTATGATTTTTGCCATAATTGAGCAGCCCTACAAACAACACATATTATAGATGTAAGCTGAAGTCTTCTTCACAAGACTTGTTTACAGACAGAGCTACTTCTATTGAAGTCTTTCTTCATGTAAACGGATTCTGAGTTTAATCAAGTCTGAACTCTTCCTCCTAGGTGGCAACAGCGGTGGAAAAGTGGAAGACTGCTATCCGAGAGGCCCAGACCTTCTCCCGCATGCACGTCCTGCTGGGAATGTTGGACGCCTGCATAAAATGGGACATGTCCGCCGAGAACGCTCGCTGCAAAGTCTGTCGCAAGAAAGGTAAAGAACTGCTTTTTAGCTGCCTGCTCAAAAAAAGTAAATAGCTGTAATTTAAATGTGTAATCTCAAGTTATTGAGAGTATGATGTCTCTTTAGGCATTTACATTTTTGGTTGGAAAAACCAATAGGGATGAAATAACACCTCAGAACACCAAAACAGCACCATTACTGGCTCCATAAGGCAGTTCCTAATAAAAGATGTGATTAGGAGGTTACTGAGTTGCAGTTTGAGTGAAGCATTGCTCCACTTCTACGCTTCTGCTTCCTGTTTAGCGGTCAGGCAGAGCCCGTCTGTGCTGCAGCTGATGGAGAGTAGACCCCGGTCCAGACAGGGCCTCAGGGACAGGCTCAGAGCAGAACCCTCTGTTAGTGTCAGGCAGGTCTACATACACAGCCGGCAGCTCCACCGGCCCTCAGGTGAACCTGTAGTGATAAGATGCAGATGAGAAAGTCGCTTAGACACACAAGATGTTTTGGGCCTTTTCAAGGGAGTGGAAGATCGGGACACAAATGTGGGAATACATTTTTGGTAAAACAAGGAAATTCATGATTAAAAATGTCTTCTTTAGCTCAGTCCTAAGATATATTATATTTTTCAGGGGACGATGAGAAACTGATCCTCTGTGACGAGTGCAACAAGGCCTTCCATCTGTTCTGTCTGCGGCCGGCTCTGTACCGCATCCCAGACGGAGAGTGGCTGTGCCCGGCCTGCCAGCCCACTGTGGCCCGGAGGGGGTCCCGCTCCAGGTAACCGTCGCACTTTGACCCTGTCCTGCATCGTGAATTTAAAGTCTTGTACAACATCGTGGTAACCTTCTTCTATATAGAGGTCATGAGAATATTAATATATAGTATTAAAATGTTCTTACAGTGCATGACATTAAAGAGACTGTGAAGTGCATTTTTTTGCGCCAAAATGAAATGGCAGTTTCATTCCTTACATATCATTGTGCCTGTTCATGGCTAAAATAATTTTTCATAATTAATGAATGAATGAATTATTAATTTTGCCGTCTGAGCCTAACGGAAGTTGCAGACGATAGTGGCTGTGACGTCACAAGATGTACCCAGTTGTGATTGTAAACATGGTGGAGACTTTGGAAAGTGATACTAGTGTGAGAGAAATGATTGATTTGGACAGCTTTTCGGACAGGATAGATGAGGAAAGTGATCAATCTGGTGCACTTTGAGGGCAACATTAAGAGATTTATGGATACAGCTCTCAACACTCATATGAAACATATATTTCAATAATCAAAAAACATTGGGGAAGGATTTCTTAACCTATTTTATACAACTAATATTACATAGATGGAAATATTTGTTTACATAGATGACCAAACCCACTGAGATAACTTAGGCTACAGTTTACCTCCCTGAGCTGACGTTATCTCTCTCAGTCCCA